ATACTGATATGGGTTTGGTTTCACCAGAAGTTTGAGGAGGGAAAAAATCGTACCTTTCAGTTGTAGCCTTGACGTACTAGAAATAATGTAGATAAAAACAAAGATTAATCTATATTATGTGATCAGAAAATCTACTAAAGCTGCATTTATTTGATCAAAAATACAATAAAACTAATATTATGAAATACTATTACAATTCAAAATAACTGTTTTCTATTTTAATACATTTTCAAAGGTAAGCATGTCACGTGATGCTTTAGAAATCATTTTAATATGCTGATTTGCTGCTCAAGAAACAATACTTATCATCAATGTTGAAAAAGCCAAGTGCTTCTTACCACAAGAAATGTGAAGTCATTCCTTCTCAGTTGTTCTTCGATAGACTCAATAATGTGTGAGAGAGATAACATCCCTGATCTAATCTCCTCAATATTCTTCTTAATTATCTCACTCTTCTGCTCCTCTTCTTTCTTCAGCGCAGTCGTCCTGGCTGCCTCTTCAGTTTCTAGAAACTGGTGAAGCTTGTCAAACGCCTCCTTAATTTGGGTCTCGGTGTGTTGGCTCTGCTTCTAAGCACAAAATATCAGCAAATTCAGGCTGCAATATCCATACGATAGTTAAACTGTTTTAATGTTGAAATATCCTCCCGGTACTCACTTTAATATACTCTGCTGTTTCATCCCAGGACTGTTTAATTTGTTCGTAGACTCTGAGTTTCTCCAGAAAGGCCTTTCGTTTCAGCTGGAGCTCTTGCTAACAAATGTTAGAAAGAGATGTGAGACAAATAAAGTTGGGGCAAGTTGTCACTTTTTAAAAAATGTGTTTTTATTTACATTTTTTAAACCTAAAAATCTAGATCTAAATCCTTAAATCTAGGTTAAACTAGGCTGTTTCAGGGTAGGGATATTTTTAATATTGGACATATAGAATATAGAATATTTGTTATTTTTTATTATTTATATACTATTATCATATATAAATACTATTACCATATATAATATTACTATTTTTAATTAACTTTTATGTTGAGTTTTAATAATTTTCGCTCAGTTATGTCATTTTTAATGCAAATATGACATTATTTGACCTAGCCCTAACCTAACCCTACCCCTACCCCTAACCATAGCCCATAACAAAGACATCTCAAACAATGTCATCTTTGCATTAAAAATTACATAACTGAGCGAATGACACTTAATGACAGTTGTCATAAACATGCATAAAAAAACCTTCATATTCATGACATGTGTCATGTCATGATTATGAAGGTGTCATGTCAGTCTTATGCACACCCCTTCAAGTAAAGTGTAACCGTAATTTGTTTTATTTTTGTGCTCACTTCAGCCTATGATGCTCAGATGTTTTAGCATGATGATTTCCCAGCTTTGTTTAATGATGTTAAACAAGTTGTTTGTTACAAACCATATCCAAAAAGGATCAGCAGTGTCCAGCTTATATTTGACTTATCAGCGTAGTTCCCACGAAACGTTTGTTTTTGGGAGTCTGAGAATGTGTGTCATATAAGGGCCATTAGTGTGCTAAGACCTGTTTGACAAGACAGCTATCATATCTCACTCATTTCTAGTCCATTAAATCTGACACCAACAATCAGTGAAATCTGACTAGAGTCCACAGTTAAAAACTGTGTTTCCATACCATCTGACACTCTGAGCTCGTACCCTGAGTTCCTGTGACGCGTCTGCTGTTGAACGGATGCGGTGGTTCTTATGCGATTTGGCATTTCTGCATTTCCCACAAACTAGTTCTTGATCTTCAGTGCAGAAGAAAGTAAGAGGTTCTCCATGAAGACTACAGAACTTTTATATATATATATATATATATATATATATATATATATGCTAGGGGTCAATTTCTGTCTTTACTTTAAAAAGTGTCTCTGTTATTTTAGTATCATTTATATTCTACTATAGTATTTATGAATATTTTGAAGCACATATTTTTATATTTTCAGTTTTTATAATAGTTTTTGTTTTTTCTTTTGTCATTTTTATTAACTTAGGACCTTAAGGACAAAAATGTCCCCATTGAAACCCATTAAAACTGCTATTTTTAATCCCAGTGCCATTTAACTGTAAAATTATGCAATTTTTGTTGATTGGCTTTCATTCTATTGGCAAGGCTTTAAAATTATTTTTTTTTTTACAATTTTTTACCAGATGGTGCCATTTTTTCAGGTTTGACCTATAAAGAAAATACTCGCCTTATTTGTTTTCTGCTTCTGCATATTATAGAGCCAATTGGATAAATAATGCAGCTATAATTGTGTGGGTGTGTTGGTATGGATGTCAGAGTGTGGTTTGTATGTGTGTCATAAAAAAAAAAATTGTGTGTGTTCTTGTAATATTTGAGAGAGAAAAATTCTACTGCAAATCACAAATCCAACCACTGTGTGCACCAGCAGAGTTTGAACGGATGCGGTGGTTCTTATGCGATTTGGCATTTCTGCATTTCCCACAAACTAGTTCTTGATCTTCAGTGCAGAAGAAAGTAAGAGGTTCTCCATGAAGACTACAGAACTCCACCGTCTCTACAGGAGGCTCCTGAGTTGTTGTTTCTCTCATCAGATCACACATGTTTCTCAGCACAATGTTTATAGGTGGGTTAGGGTTGGAGGACACAGTTCTGCAGATGGGACACTCTTGAGTTCCTCGCCGATTCCAGAAGGTTTTCACGCAGCTGTTACAGATGCTGTGAGAGCAGGGTAAGAGAATGGGATCCCTGAAGATGTCATAGCAGATGGGGCAATAGAAATCCTCCTCTGTAAGGGACAGTCTACAGGCCATTTTGTCACCTATGCAATTAAATGTTTTAACTAGTTGTGTCTCTCTGACTCTTTGTGTGCCTGGTCCAGCTGTCAAAGAGCACAAGAGTGTCTCTCAACTGTGTTTACATCCCAGACACCTGCAAATCAGGGTGGAGCTTATAAGCTATAACTTGGTGCTGGTGTCAACATAAATAAAATTTTTTCTTTTGTCATTTTTATTAACTTTTATATTTATATAAATATTATAAATAATATATACTTTATTTTAATTTAAATTTTAATATTTCTGTATGACTTAAATTTACTTTAATTTAAGTTTTAGTAATTTTATAGTACTCCAACTTATTTATTTGTTTGGCTTTATTTCTGCTGTTTAAAATAGATTTAAATATAGTTTAGTTAATTTAGTTTAGTCTTGTTAACTAAAATTGTGGTTAATGGATTTATTATTATTATTATTACTTTTAATACGAAGGATGCATGTTCATCCTATTGTATAGACTTTGTGGGAACCATCTGGATTCATTCTGTTCTTTAGCTTTTTTATTTCAATCTAGTCATGTACTCACTGACCTCTGTGGGAATGAAGAAAAAACCTTTTCTATCATACTGTCTAACAAGCAGATCTCTATATACCAGTTTTTCTGTTCTGTTCTGTGTATTCCCATGTCAAGAATGTGACCAAGACAACATTCTGTAACGTGCTGCTGCTTTCTCACACTCAAAAAAAGTAAGATTATTGTGTTTGATATTACTGACAGGCAATTTGTCAAAGAAGACATTCTAGGTATTGTAGCTTGGATTTGTTTCCTGGAAAGCACAAATATAGGTCAAAGTTTACACCTACAGAAATGAATGATAATTTAGAAAAATAATGTTTAAAATTTAGTGCTGTCAAATTGATTAATCGCCATTAATCGCATCCAAAATAAAAGTTTGTGTTTACATAATATATTCTAGCAGGTATAGAGTTCAACATGTTTCATAAAGTATATATTTTATATAAAACATCGTTCATAAATCATTTTCATAAACCTAAACATCTAGAACTCATTTTTTTGGTTTCACTTTTTAAACTTTTTTTTACTTCAACGATAATCTGCCATGGGTCTTCTTTAAAATGAGACCAAACTTGACTCTTCTAATTTTTATGACAGTTTTTTGACGTGGACATTTTTGTCCACTATGGACCTGTGTAACTTTTTTTAATTGACGCACAAGGGTTAAGAATGCCAGGTGTTTTGGTTTTCATGTTAGAGAAGCAGTCATGCCTTTAATGCCATTAAGCAGGGGTGCCCAAACTCGGTCCTGGAGGGTCCTGCAGAGTTTAGCTCCAGCTTGCCTCAACACACTGCAGGACACTGGCCCTCCAGGACCGAGTTTGGGCACCCCTGCCATTAAGGCTTGTGTCTAACCTGAGCTCTGAAGCACTTGTTGATCTGCACGACAGATTTCTGGGATACTGCAGGGCAGGAACGTTTTCGAAGCATGCACCCGTCTTACTACCATAAAGCTCATGCCTGCGTCATGGTAAGAGACAGTCGCAAACCACTCAGTCTTATTTTAGTATTATTTATTTACTGTTATCAGTATCAATATTTATTAATATTTTGAATTAGCTTTTATTAATATATTTTTATTTTATATATATTTTATATAGATAGAATTTCGATTTTTAATTTTATGTGCTCTTCTAATTTATTTAGCTTCAAAATAAAAGTTTGTGTTTACATAATATATGTGTGTGTACTGTGTATATTTATATGCATATAAATTAATAACACAAAAATACATGTATATATTTAAGAAATATATGTAATATATATATATTTATGTATAATATAAATCATATATAAATATGTATATATGTATACATGTAAATATTCCTTAAATATATACATGTATGTGTGTGTATTTATATATACATATAAACACACAAATATATTTTGTAAACGCAAACTGTTATTTTGGATGCGATTAATCGTGATTAATCGATTTGACAGCACTAATATAATAATCAATAAGTTATTGCTTAATGTAATGTATTCTTTTATATCCCATTTTATATTGTATTTTTAGTATTATTATTATCAGTAATACCAGTATTTCCTTTCTGCCACTCTAGCTGTATTACGTTTAGAGCAATCATTAGAATAAAGTACTTTAAAATTAAAAAGACAAAAAAAAACAGGCACCTTCAAAGACAGCCCGACGCTTTCCAGCAGGCCCTTTATGGGTCCTGGCGTTGCTTAGAGACGCGTTGTTGTCGTGCATCTTCACAGTGAATTTTCTGGAACCAAACCGAGAATTTTCACCACAAAATAGCGATGTTTGTCTCGTCTGTAATCCAGCCGTGAATGCGAACAAACGTACGACGAGTCTTAAATACATCTGCACCGGATTGTTAGACAATATTCTGCCGTAAATATTGATTTAGATAGCTTGGGTTACAAACACGCTAATCTGCTAACTAATTAGCCAGCTAGCCAAAGCGAGATTCGGACACGGTCGGCGTATCTTTGGAAAAATAAAGTTTATTATTCGCTTTACGGCTTGTAAAGATGAAATAAATGGCATCTATAGAGTTGTTCGAGCGCGTGTGATGGAGTAAAGCAGCAGTGTTTCGGCTGTCATCATCATCTGCTGGTCTCGCAATGGACGCAGGAGGCATTTCTGATCTGGACCTGGAGAAATATGACGCTGATGAGCAAGTCAAGATCATCTGCCTCGGAGACAGCGCTGTGGGCAAATCCAAGTATGCTTAATGTCTTCCTGCTCTCCTTCGCTGTCAAGGCGTTTGCGTTTTGATTTCTAAAGGCTTTGCTCGTTTCTTTTCAGGCTTATGGAGAGATTCCTTATGGACGGATAGTATCCTTTGACTGTTATTTCATGTCAGTCAGATCTGCATGCGGTCTCTCTCTGTGTGCGAGTGTTTGATTCATTCTGAGAGTTGTCAGGTTCTTAATGAAATGTGTCAGTCGGCCTCAGCAGCTCTCCACATACGCTCTGACTCTGTACAAGTACACCACCACCATCAATGGACAAACTGTCCTGGTTGGTAAGTTTGGCAAGAAAAACGGTCTTATTTTAGTGAAAAATAATACAGTTGACCGTATTGCATATTTAGCTTTTTATTGATTTATTTAACCCTTGTGCGACCTTTTGGACATTTTTGTCCTTTTCAGCAGATTTCTGGGATACTGCAGGGCAGGAACGTTTTCGAAGCATGCACCCGTCTTACTACCATAAAGCTCATGCCTGCGTCATGGTAAGAGACAGTCGCAAACCACTCAGTCTTATTTTAGTATTATTTATTTACTGTTATCAGTATCAATATTTATTAATATTTTGAATTAGCTTTTATTAATATATTTTTATTTTATATATATTTTATATAGATAGAATTTCGATTTTTAATTTTATGTGCTCTTCTAATTTATTTAGCTTTAAAAATATTTCTATATAGCTTTAATTTTATTTTAGTTTTAGTAATTGTAGTACGATAACTTAATTTTTTTTAAACAAATATTGAAATCAAATCAAATGAGTTTAAGTTAGATTTTATTTGATTCCATCTTTATTTAAATTAACAACATTTATTTTTTATAGTTTTTATTTTTAGTTAATAATAACTACACTGAAACTACTTGCATGAATAAATCTTTATTTGTATGCTGCCGTAATTGTAGATTAACAGCCATTTAACAGCAACCACAACACACACAACTCCTCTAATAATGTTGTGAAAAATAAAATTGTTGGAAAAAATTGGTGCAGGTTATTAGTTATTTATTTTTTGATGAAGGATCTTTATAAACAGTAGATCTCAAAAAGCTTCCAGAATTAATAAGATTGCTTTTGCCAGGTGTTTGATGTCCAGAGGAAAATCACATATAAGAATCTCCCAAATTGGTACAAAGAACTGCGGGAGTACCGTCCAGAGATTCCCTGTCTGGTGGTCGCTAACAAGATCGATGGTAAATTTGGCTTGTGAGATTACTGATAAGAGCTTTATTAGCCAGTGTTACGCTTTGCATGTCTCTTATCTTTTGTCCTTTCATGTGCTCTGCTCTTCAAAAGCTGACATTAAGGTCACCCAGAAGAGTTTCAACTTCGCTAAGAAACAAGGTCTGCCCTTTTACTTTGTATCTGCTGCTGATGGGACCAATGTGGTCAAGGTGAGGATGCAAAACAGAGCGTCCTAGACAGATATCAGGAGAGCATTCAGTAAAAGCTGCTATAGCTATTGAATTTTAAAAACAGATTGTTGTAGAGTGACGTGTGGATTAAATAGAGTATCCATTGTTTGCTGTGATGAATTTAGGATGAACTCAAATTTTTTTATTTTGCAATATTTTTCATATAAAATGTGTTTTCATCTGACATTCCATAAATTCTCTAGTTAAGGTTTCTTTGATTATGTAAACTAATTGTGGTCAGGTTTTGCTATATTTTTTATATTAAATATCAGTTTGTATTAATTCCCTTAATTTCCATACACAAGTAAATTTTTTTTCCCCTTTACATTTTAATTTATGTTATTACATATTGGCAATTTTAAATGCATTCCTGTTCAGTTTTTTTTTGGTATGAAAGTAAATAGCACACAAAATTATTATAATTTTTTATTTGGTCAAATTTTATTATTTTTTTTTAATTCCGAGGAATGGATCAAAAAATGTGTGTTTTCGGGTTCAAAGAACTGTGAAGTTCTGATGTTGTGTAAATGTTCCACAGGTGTTTAAAGATGCCATTCAGATGGCTCTGTCCTACAAGAAGAACTCCAGTGACTTTATGGATGAAGTCATGAGGGAGCTAGAGGTGTGTGTGTTTTTGTTTGAATGTAAATGCTTACTCTTCATGATGCTGATTACTGATTGATTTTATTCATGTTATTTTGCAGAACTTTGATTTAGAGAGTAAAGAAGAATCATCTGATAAAGAAGAGGAGACACAAGAGGGAAAACCAGACTCGGCGTGACCATGTCAAATTCTTCATCCTCTTCTTTCCTCATTCTCTGTCTCCGCTGCTTCTGCAGTTGTACTGATGAGCTCTTCAGATCACGGCTGTCCTCTCACCGTCCTGAGCAGCAGAACTCTACCTCACACCACTCAAAGTGTGTGTCTGTTCTTGGAATAAATTATGCTTCTGTGAATGTACAGCTGGCATTATCAGATGATTGACATGATAATGGAATACAATGCACTCTGAACTTTGATTTGATACAAATTGTGCAGCATGCATATTTAGTAAAAAAACCAAAACTTTTAGCACTCTGGTATATGAAGCTTTGTGCCGAATGTAATATGAAATATTTTTAATTGTAATTTTATATATCTTTGTTTTCAGATGGAAGTTTTAGTGAAATATTTATGAGCCACTCATTTTTTTTGGTGTACTATTTTACAACATTTGCACATTTCAAGTAACATTTTGTGATGCTCACTGGTATAAATAAAGTACTTGATCTTTGTACAAGGGTAGTTGATTATACTGTACAAGCTGAAATTATACATAGTTTTAAGATACGCATGTTCTCTTATACATTTATATTACTATAACATTTTATGTCCATCTCATTTGCCAACTAAACAGGTTTTTATATTAAAACGATTTATTGCAAGCATATCTGAGAACAGGATCAAAGTCTCAGGAATGGATGAGAAGACAGCCGTGATGCAAACTCAGTGTAGCAGATGAATGTGTGTTTGTGTGGATGTGAAAACCAGAGCAAAGAAAGAGCAGCGACTGCTCTGGAGGATCACTGACCATTACAAACGGTCAGGTTACAGTTCCAGCTGTGAAACACTATTAACTTCTATCTTAAAATGAGGATGAATGACTAATGTGTACTTTACCTGATAATGTGCAGCTTTAGATCTTTGACCCACTCACTGGACATCTCGGATTCAGAGAGAGTCAAATAGACATTCAGGCCAAGTGCAGCTGTTTGATGAGCTGTCCAGTGAAACCGGGGGAAGTTCAGGAGTGAATCTCATGAAATGTCAAGAGCATGTCTATCATGTTACAGCAAAATCAGAACACACCATCCCTTTCATTTTTTTGTTTAATTACTGATTGTAAATTATTTTAATTTGAAAGCATTTGTTCTCTAACGAATGCAATTTATACTGATTTTAAGTCATCAGTTGTGTTTGGACAGATGTTTGTCAAGCGTGATTGTCATAAAAATGTATCGTGCTAAAATGCTAAAAATAGACGTTTAATCAATTTCCTTTTGCAAAAATATATTTGAAGTAAAATATGACCCTGATATTTCTTCATGAGTTTCTCCTTTAGAGACCAGAAATAAGCATTACTGTAAAGAGCATTTATTCATATTGCACAAACTGTGAAGTTTTATTTTTTAGATTATTGCATTTGGTTTGTGTTTTGTGATGTTTTGCACAAATGCTTTATATATCAAACACACATCCATTTTGGTGAAATGAAATAGAACCAGCTTTGTACTGCACACGAATGTGTGTGTGTAAATGAACTGGATACAACTTGAATGTCATTAGAAAAATACTTATTTCTGAAGCCTCTGGTGTTTTCATGTACTGTCATTTTCTTGTTCTGTGAGCAGAATGTGGTTCATATTAAAGAATTATAAAGAAGCAAGATCTTCCATATGACATCTTTCAGCAATAATCAGCACTTTCCACGAATTGACAAATCTAGCTTTTAACAGAAAATTATCAATGCATGAAAAGTTGCTGTTTAATATCAGACATCAACCATTCCAACACTCTTCTCAAACTTACTGTAAAATTAGTGTATTGTAAAAGTATCTTGTTGCAAGAAAAACACAATATTTACATACAATACAAAAATTGTAAGATACTTTTCTTTACGTGAAAAGTCACTTAAAAATAAGCATTCAAGCCGAAACTAGAGACTAGAAATCTGCAGTCCCATACTGGTGATTTTATTTTTTAATACTATACATTTTATGATTTTTTTTATATTTAATATTCATCAAACCTATAAAACTAAATGCTATATGAGCAGTTTTATTTGACATTTATTTGAGGTGGACAAACATTTTCTGAAGGTTAAGCATTCTTTATTCACTCAGTTACAACATGAAGACCTTTTCAGAGTTTCAACCCTTGTTTTGCACCTTTGTGGAAAGTGCTTCTCTCTCTCTCTCTCTCTTAAGCAGTACCCGAGTGAAATAAACCTCCATCACAACCTCAACAGAGCAATCAACCCACCAGAAAACAATGCTCATTAAAGCAGTATATACTGCATTTCTTGCCATGTTTATTGTGCTTCTGTTGGTCAGAAAACAAGATGGACAACCCTATAGAACATACTGCAGTCATGTAAATGATGTGTTTTATTTCATGTTGTGAAATAAACCTCCATCACAACCTCAACAGAGCAATCAACCCACCAGAAAACAATGCTCATTAAAGCAGTATATACTGCATTTCTTGCCATGTTTATTGTGCTTTTGTTGGTCAGAAAACAAGATGGACAACCCTATAGAACATACTGCAGTCATGTAAATGATGTTTTATTTCATGTTTCGTCCTGCCATTGGTTGAGTAAAATTACAAAGAAATCAACTTCAATTTTCATTCTGGTTAAATATGCAGAACCCCTGATGTCTGCGCTACATTGGGAGAGAGTAAAGGGCAAAAGTCAGGGAGAGTGTCCACCGAATGTGCAAGTCAGTCACTAATAGACTTACTGGAATTCAAGCCAAACAGAACAGATTCTTAAATCCAGACATGAATGTGCCCATGGAACTCAATAAATTGGGCCACGTATGGAAATCATTGAAAAACATAAAAATGTATATAAACTCATATATTTGTGGAAACAAAGAGAGCAAAAGAAAACAGGAGATGCGTGTAGTCTAAAAATTTCCAGGAGGTGGCACCATAGTGCTGGTTCAAACAGCGTTTAGTTCCAAAAAACCTCAAAGAAAAGCTAAAAACCAGAATCACTTTTTGGCACATTTGTTCATTTTTCTTCATGTCCTTTCATCTCCTGCTAGAACAACTATAATGTAATGCACATGACATAACATCAATATTATGAAAGATGAAAGTGATGTGTACAGAATGAAAATCACAGCTCATGAGTTATCAGAAGATGATAAAACTGTGGTACATATGGCTCAGAAATGCAGTTCCAAGTCTCCAGAGTGGGACGACATTCACAAAAACATACGCACACTTGCTTTTGCTCTTCCCCAGACAGCAACATAGTGTTGGCCCAGATTCGGCCCACATATGCCCGCGTGAAATCCATGCGGGCCAGATGTGGGCCGGATCTGGGCCGACACTGCATGCTGTCTGGGTCTGGATGAGCTGAAGGTAGGAACATGATTTTCAGTGGGATGAGAAATGAAAAAGGTCTAAATCGAAAATTGAGCGTTTCTGTAAGATTTCAGTAAAAAAACAAAGTGGATTTAACAAGTCGAACATGGAATGAAGGAATCTGTGTGTGGTAGGCTCATCTGCATCCGAGGATATAAGTAATTCACAGTTATCTTGGGGCCCGACTCCAAACGGCCCCTCAACACCTTCATTCAAGCCCTTGTAAAGTCAGACAGACTGATGGTTTAACGCAAGGATCAATATTTCTGTTAATGAGCTAAATAGTAACTAGTCTTCATCTGGGATGGGAGAATAAACTTTAATCGGAGTAACCACCATATTTACAGAACAGAAATGAGGTTCTAAAAGTACAGGCTGCTCAATCTTGTACTGTCTTAAGGTCATGGGTCACATCTGATTTTCAAAAGCTTTATTTTATGCTGGAAATTTGTATATTTGAAATGTCAATCAGAGGAAAAGAAATATAGAGTCACTATCAACACCATATCAGTTATCAGATTTTTTAATTGATTAGTATCCATCAATATTAATAGTCAGTAAAACTCTTTAATTCGTTTGAAGTCTTGTAAGGTCACTAAAGCTGCATTTTTAGTATCAAAACATACAGTAAAAACTTAATAAATAAATTTTATTACAATTTAAAATAACATTTTTTCTATTTGAATATATTTAAAAATTTAATTGTTTTTGTAAAATTATAAATGTATTTAATGTCACTTTTGATCAAATACATTTATGCTAAATACAATATTTTCTTTCCAAAAAAATTAATACATAAAAATTAAAAATTACTGACTTTCAAAATGTTGAATGCTAGTTTGTGTGTGTCTGTATATATATATATATATGATTACCACAAAATTAAAAAATCTTTAGAAAATTCCAAAATGAATATCCATTTTTCATTCTGTACATAGTGTTGTAATGCCTAAAATCACAATTGGTTTTGTATCCCTAGTAAATTCAGGTTTAGAATGCCACTCTCATATTTAACAGTATGTAAAGAACAGCATTAAGAAGAGGAGTGACATCTGTTTTACCTGTAGTGTGAACAGGCTGTACTTCAATCCCTCACAGCTTCTTTTCGTTCATGTCAAGATAAATATGGCATCTACTCCAACTCAACGCTGCTCCTACAGAAGGGGTTTTTTCCTACACAGTGTTGCTGGCATGCTCATCTGATGATGCACTGAGAAGCTCTCGTCATCCTTGGCTGTTTGCGTGCGGCCTGATTTCAGATGCAAGAGAAGAGATGACCAATGGTGAAGCATTAACTCTTTCTGCTGTCACAGTCACACACACGTTGGGTATTAAAAACAGGACTGAATAGGATTGATGGTGCACGGAAGAGAAATGAGCGTATGTGTGTCTGTGTTTGCATGTCCCAGGTTTCGTTTAAATATGCAAACAGGTCATATATGCATCTGTTGAGCCCTAATAGAGGGTTGAATGGGACAGGTGGGAATGAATGGCTTGAAATGCTAGCACCTTGTTTTGTGCAAATCACCCCCGAACTCCATACAAAGAGTAAAATCTTCACCTTTTTTGACAGGTGGTTAACTATGCATATATGCCAAACATTCATATATAGATCTATATATTTTTTGATTTTTTAAAAATTTATATGAAAACTATCATATATACATTGCTTGTGATTGATATAAAAAGCAAATATTTTAGTAATTTGTCCATATATACACAGCTGCAGGATCTCTGGGCTTCTTTTTCATTGATTGTTTTTTCATTTAATCCTTTGTCCTCAGCTTTTTCTTTGAACTAATTGTCATTCTAAAATTAATTCTAAATGAATTCATAAAAATTATTCTAAGCATCATATTTCACAAGCTACAAAATCCACCTATGAGGAGACAAAAAAATCAAATAAAGAAATAAAAAAGGCC